TGGTTCACTGACTGGGGACCAGGCTCCATCTCAGGCCTCCCTCCCCGAGGGAAGGAGTTCTCTCAGGCAGCAGGGTGAGAGCCTGTCCCTGAGGAGAGAGGACCCTGCAGGTCGGCTGTGGTGACAGGGTCCCCGGGGGGGGTCGTTCCCTCAGGGGGTGCGCGCTGCCCCCCAGACGGGGTCTCCGTGTGGACACCAGCCCCTGCCCCTCCCTGCGGGCCGTGGGGTGGGGTCGGCCCAGAGAGGAGGGGACACGCGGCTTTCCTGTCCTTGGGAAGGACAGGGTCTCAGGAGACAAGCTGAGGAGCACAGGCCTCGAGTCAAGCTAGTCTGTAGGTTTCTGAGGGTCCTGCCCCAGAGTTGAGCTTGACTCTGGGAAGAAGGCCCTCAAGCTTCCTCAGGGTCACCACATCCGGGACTTGGGGGCTGGGGGCTGTCCTGGGAGGGTCTTGAAGGGAGAGAGCCGGGCTGTTCTCCTGTGCCTAGGACTTGTGGGCCTTGGAGACACTGCGGGGGCTTCCGGGACGCAGCCCTTCTCCCCCTCCTTTCTGCATCTGGACACTTGGGGGCCTCAGGGCCATTCCCTGTGGTGCCTCGAAGCCCGGGCCTCCTGAGAACCATCTAAGCCCTGTGGCGGGTTCCCACCATGGAGATCCTCAGGCTTGGGGAACCATGGCGGTCAGGCCACCTTGGGGGCTCAAGTCATGACTGAGGAGTCTAGGAGTCTGTCCCAGCTCTGCTGTTCGGCTTCAGGGTGCCGGGGCCCTAGGAGCCAGTTGGAGGCCTGGCTGGCACACTGACAGGGCCTCCCCGTTTTCTGAGTGCAGGAGGTGACCGGTTTCTGGGTTGTCAGGGGACCCTTTCAGAATACAAGGCTATCAGACACCCCGGTGTGGACACCTTTGCCTAGCATCTCCCCAGCTCATCCTCTAGCTGGCCCGAGCCTCTTGCTGGGAGCAGGATCTAGAGCATCCCACACAGAGGCTGCTGTCAGCTCCAGGGTCAGCCTCAGTCAGAACTGAGAGTGGACAGGGGAAGACGCTCCAGAGGGAGGGTCCCACAGGGTTTCCGCTGTGTGTCTTCACAGGACCCTGTGCCGAGTGGTTGCCCGGTGGCCATAATCAGCACTTGGAACCCAGTCGGTCAGTGTGACAAACACCCTGCTTTTCTTTCCTTTGGTTTTGACCTTTTGACACAGGGTTACTCTGTGTAACATCCAGCATTCCCGGAACTCGCTCTGCAGGTCAGGATGGCCTTGCCAACTCCCTGAGATGCCCCTGCCTCTGCCCATGCCCTAGTGCTGGGATGGAAAGCTCTGGCTACCTCCATGACTCTGCTCAAGGAGCAGATGTTTAAGGGGTGTGGTCGCACCTGTCAGGGGCTTTGTGTTCTGCATGTGCAAGGGAACCCAGTGGACTTAAGAAGCACCGCTCTGTCTGGGAGTCACCCAAATGGTTCTCTCTGCTGTGGTGTACTTGGAGGGGCTCACCTGCTTCCCCCTCCTTCTCCTCGTGTGCACTGTGCCTTTGCTTCAGAGTGTAGGATGGCGAGGAGGAGGAGGGGACTGGTCTCACTCAGATTTGTAGTGGTAAGGACCCAGGGCCATCAAGGAGGGAAGAGTGAGTTCTCAGTTCCAAGACAAGCACAAGGGCCCTTGCTGTCAGTGTAGACTGTCTAGGGGTGCCGACTGTAGACCCCGAGTCAGAGAGTCACCTGGGACTTTGACTGGGGTGATAAGGGGAGGGAGGGGGCTCAGAGTGGGCTTGGACCTGAAAGACAGATCTGAGAGCCAGCAAGGGTGTTGTGAAGAGTGAAGAGGAAGGAACACTTCAGAATGTGTGAGAAAATGCAGGGCCCTGCCCCTTTTGCCAGTCTCCAGAAGCCCGGGTCCAGGCGACTCAGAGGAGATACACACATGTGCACTTCTGTCTCCTCTCTCAGGGCAGTGAGCCTGTACACCATAGGGAACCATCACAGCCCAGAGGGTAGCAAGCCTGCTCGCCAGAGGAGGCATCCATTTTCCGTGGTGAATCCAGGTGAGCTGTCAGGGTCAGAAATGAAGGCAGAAGAGGCCTCCCTTCCCCCAATAGAAGACTGTAGAAAGCATAGGTACCCCTGTTCCTATGCCTTAGGGAGCCCTCAGTCAGGAGCTGTGGTGCCTGGCTTCCTGGGACTGTGTGATTTGTTGTGACACTTTTCCTGGAGTGACGAGGACCTTGTTCCTAGGGTTGATATCAGATCTGCAGTGGCAGCCAAGGCTGGAGAGCAGGGGGAGTCTGCAGGGTGTGGACCTCCCCTGAGGACTGACTCTGCAGCATGGAGCAAAAGGACTGCACAGTTACAGTGTGGGTGTGACCAGGAGTCAGTGCTCAGGGGCACCAAGGGCTTTGCTTCCTTCAGCTACCCCTGGGGAAATACGTGGGTGTCTCTGTGGAGATGGGGTCTGCTGGGAAGTACAGGACTCAGAAGGAAGGCAAAGGTGCACTCAGGGTGGACTTAGGGACTCCTGTCTCAACAGTGATGAGCCCAGCTCACGGGGCCATCACTGCTGCTCCCCCACAGGGGTGGATGGGGCTGTGCCACCACCTCCTTTCTCCTGAGAGGTCATAGAGCCGGGTGTGGAACTTCTCCACAGTGGGAGACCATGTTTGAGCACAGTCAATGGTTAAGTGGGGCCTGGAAAATTCCAGGAAAGGATGCCAGGGACTTAGTGCAGGAGACTCCACTCCAGAGCACAGACAGCTGCCTCAAGCACTGTGTCACAAACAGTCCAGGACAGGCCTGCAGGGCTGAGTCCCCTGCCCTGGTTCCAGGCAGTAGTCTAAAGGCTCTGAAGGGCCTGCTTAGAGCACCTGGACCTGGGTCATCTGAGGGAGCCTTGGGCCTGTGAGGACTCCTGGTGAGAGTGGAGAGTACTGACTACCTCCCTGCCTGTCTGTGGGGGGTGGGAAAACAGAAGAGTGCATTCCTTCCCCTCTCCTATTCTTCCTTTCGTTCTCACAGAAGTAGTCTCTTGCCTTAAAGACCTTGGACCCAGGGATCACTGGGAAGCCCCTCAACCAGCCATTCAGCAAGGTGAGAATCGGGTTGCTGTCCTGTGCTAGCCCAAATGAACAACACTGAATTGAGGTAGCTCTTTCAGTCCCCCCTCCCCTGCCCCCACCTGCAAACAGGTGTCAGGAGCTGTGAGGTGACCTCTCTGCCCTCTTGGAGACAAGGAAACTTGTTCTGAGACTTGCCCTCAGACAAGAAGAGGCATGCACCCTGGGAGGTGGTCTCTTCTTCTTCGAACCTCTCAGAGGCACCTGCAGTACCAGAGTCCTTTGTCCTTGGAGCACTCCCCACGAAAATCCTCCCACAGGAGCTCTTTGAGAGCCTCCTGAGCAGTGGCTGTCAGAGTCTACTACACACCTTCTTGCTTTCTCCTCCAGGCCTGTGAGTCCTATCTCTGTGTCCTGTACCTCGTCCTGACTGTGTTCCCAAGGAAAGTCATCATGGATCCTACTGAGAACAGCCAGAGCTCCAACCTCCCTGACAGCACTCAGTCCCAAAGGGAGGCAAGGGGACCCGAGGGTGTCCAGGTCCCCTTAGCTGAGGTGGGGGAGGCTGAGGCCACTGCCACCCCTCAGGGGGTGTGTCTGTTGGGACAATGTTCCGTTCTCCCCAGAATGCTGTGAGAGCCTCCTCTCCTCCCACTGCCCTGGGCTCCATTGCAGGGGCGCCATCTGCTGAGGCCTCTCACAACCCATTAAGAAGAATGTCCAACTCAACATTCATCTCACAGGATGTAATAAATAGAAAAGTAGTTATATTGGTGAGGTTCCTGCTCCTCAAGTATCGCATGAACCAGCTGACAACTAAGGCAGAAATGCAGGAGAGGGTTACTCGTGATTATGAGATGTACTTCCATGTGATCTCTGCAAAGGCCATTGATTGCATGTGGCTGCTGTTTGGCATTGAAGTTATGGAAGTGGACCCTCATGTCCACTCCTATGCTCTTGTCCGTGCTCTAGGGATCACCTATGATGGGATGCTGCATGGTGCTCTGGGCATACCAAAGACAGGCCTGGTGATAATCATGCTGTGCATAATTTTCATAGGGGAAAATTGTGTCAGCGAGCAGGATATTTGGCATATCCTGAATGCCATGGGGCTGTATGCTGGGCGGGATCATTTCATATTTGGGGAGCCCAGGAGACTCATCACTGAGCATTTTGTGCAGGAAGGGTACCTGGAGTACAGGCAGGTTCCAGACAGCCATCCTCCTAGCTATGAGTTCCTGTGGGGTCCCAGGGCCCATGCAGAAACCACCAAGATGAAAATCTTGTGTTTTTTTGCCAGTATAGTTAGGCGGGATCCCAGGTCCTACACTTCCAGGTATGCGGAGGCTTTGAGAGATGAGATGCAGAGGATCTAGGCCTGAATCGCCCAGCAGATGACACTACTGCCCTGAGTGGCACACATGCTAGGGAGCTGGCAGATTCCAACCAACACCACCAGATCAGGCAGAGTCAGAGATCTAAGGACTTGAACCCTCACCAGAATGCTGGTGGAGTGACAGCAGGAAACATTTCATTCTTCTTGTTCTTATTGGGTAACTTGGGCTTTCTTCTTATTTCAAAATGTTGCTATATTTTTACTAAAAGGTTCCCTAGTGGAGATGTTTTAAATTTAACAATAGAATTTGCAATGTAGTTGTTGTTTATGAAAATTAGGTGTATTTTATTATTTTGTACAAGAAGCTGTAGTGTCCTCTTCTATCCAGCTTGCAACATGTCACTGGATACAATGACCTTCAAATGGAATTTCCTGGAACATTTCAAGTTTGTACATTAGCATGAAGAACAGAATAAAAATTTTGGGTGCATCATCAGGTTCATTCGCTCATCTGTCTAAGTAATTAAAATGAAGAGTAAAGTAAGGTAAATGCAGTGCCCCCCCCCAAATTAAATCAGTAGGAGCCATATCCCAGGCTCTGTGTCGGTGTGACTTGGCAGGAGCATCACAGGAAGTGTGAGTACAGAAGAGTGCTAGCTGCTAGGAAGAATGAGAAGCCCTTTAAGCCAGAAAGGCACAGCAGACCCCTGGGGTGGGGAAGGTTACACTGTGGTCTCCAAACATAGCAGCCAATTGTCAGTGCTGCAACCAATGCAGCTGTCAGTATGGAAGAGTAGCTGGTACCAGGACCCTGGAGGGTGCCCTGTTGTTTGGGGACATGGTGAGGAGTGATGAATCAGGCTGAAGAGTCTATCATGAATTAAACATTTGCACAGCACGAGCATCTCCTGCATTATAAGATGTAAACAGAAAAACCAATCCTGGCAGTAACAGTATTCTTGAGCTGAACTGGAGTTGTAGCTCCACACCCCACGTGCACTGCATGGCTTGACCCCTCCCTCTGGAAGAGAACTCCTCCATTTAGAGAGAGAGAGGGAGGGAGGGAGGGAGAGAGAGAGGGAGGGAGGGAGAGGGAGAGGGAGACAGAGAGGGAGAGGGAGACGGAGAGGGAGAGGGAGAGGGAAAGAGAGCTGACTATCAAGATGACTTTGGGCAAGGCAATGGTAGAAAGCACAAGCATTTGAGAAGGCAGAGATGGGCTGGTCTCTAAGTTTCAGCCCACCCTGTCCTACAGTGCAGATCCTGGGGCAGCTCTGGGGCTACTCAGAGAACCCTGTCTCGGGAGAAAATACAAACAAGAAAAAAAACACAAAGGGAGAAAATGGCTAATTTTGAATGTTTGTAACTTTGACAAGGTAAGTCGGACCAGGGTTTTCTGGAGGGGGCAGAAGAAGGCACAGGATTTCATGGAAATACGAGTTAGAAATGCTTGTGAGCCTCCATGTGAGTGCCGGAAACTAAATCCTGGTCCTCTGCAAGAGCTTAAAGTAAGGACTTTTAATCAACGAACAAATTCTCTAGCCCCAGATATATTTACATTTCAAAAGTCATTTTGTGTGTATATAAAGTGGGTGGCTACATGTATGTATACTTGCCCCGGTGCTGTGAAGGTGGTTGTCACCTTCCTCGAGTCAGTATTTGTCCTTTTTGATGTTGTTCTCTATACTCCAGGCTGACTGGCTTTAGGGATTCTGGTTTATTGTCCTGCCAGTCGGCCAAAGGCCTCACCAAAGGTGTGCATGGATTACAGATGCACACTGGTGATTTCCATTATGTATGCAAGTTCCAGGGAGCTAAGTCCAATCCAGAGGGTGCAGCACCTAGCGTTTTCATGTTCTGATCCATCTCCCTATTCCTAAAATAACCTTTTAGCTCGATAATCTCTATTGTAATTTGGGGAACTCTGATAATGTCTTGGGAGTTTCGTGAATGGTGGTGTCTAGTGGTTTAGCTAGAAAGGTACCTGGTAGGGTGGGTTGGAATTGGTCTTTGACTCACATGCTCGAAGTGTTCCTGTGAGAGAAACACCCAATTTTCTAACAAGGAGCAGGATTTATTGATGTTTGCACATGAGATTCTATTTTGTCTCCTTAGCAATCTCATTCCCAATATAGCTCTCCTCACTCAGGGCACCTGCAACAGGGACTTTTCACGCAGCACACATACTCCAGCTATCGTGATGGACAGGGTTTATCATACACACTTCCCAGGTGATGAGCCGTGAGGCCCACAACATTGGAAATATTCCTGATTCCGGCCTCACTAGTGACACCACTGGCCAGGTGTCTGCATGCACCCATATCTCAGATGGTTCTAACTCTTCTCAGACTATGGTTGACCCTCCCTCTCTTAAGGACAAGGTGCTTCTTGGGTATCCATACTGTCTGATCAGGCTTCAGACAGAGTCATCCTCCAATGTCGCTTACAGAAAACAGCTTTGAATGAAAGGCACAAGTGCATGAATCAAACAGAATTTGTGGAATGTCCCTGAGTACATCTGGAACCCGAGGGCTCCAATGTGAAAGTGTCTGTACAGTCCCAGGACTCTCCTGTGGTCGTGCCTTATGTGCCTGTTGTTACACCTCTGCATCCTTACCTAATCATCAGTGTAGCTGATGTTTCCTCAGCAGGCCAGAAGGATACCCCGTGCTCCCTGTGACTCTTTCCCATGGGACAATGCACATGTTGCTGTGTTTAGTAGCACAGTAGGGACTCACGGATGAAGTTCACTGTCTGAAGGAAAGAGACTATTGTTACCCTCCAGAGACAATAACACAATTTTCTAGAGCAGTGCACGAAGCTGCCATTGATAAAAAGGAAAACCAGGGCTGGCATGAGAAACCAGGAAAACCAATTGGGGCACCATTTCTCAGAACTTGGAACTTTCTTAAAGCTTTTCTAGGTCTCATGGGGATCAGTGTCCAATGGTGGGCACCATATTTAAACAGACGTTTCTCTGTTCTGCCCCCTCCTCCAGCTGCTTTTACATAATAATCAGAGGCAGAATACTAATTAAAAAATATTTGACCTATATCTCAGGCTTATTACTAACTAGCTCTTACATTTCAATTAACCCACTTCTATTTGTGTATTGCCACATGGCCATCATATTTGTGATCCTCAGGCATCTTGAATCTTGGGCAGCTGGCTCATGTCTCTCTGAAATAAGCCCTTCTTTTTCCCCTGTATCTCCATTTGGCTTTCCTGCCTAGCTGTATTCTGCCTGGCTATAGGCTAACTTAGCTTTCACTGTCAACCAATGAGAACGATATGTATTCACAGCATACATAAGGATCATCCTTCAGCAGATTGTGAAGCCCAAGAATGTCGGGTACTTCCACAGTACAAGATCCCTCTGGAGAGGTTCCCCAGGGCAAGGAAGGGTGTCTCTCACCCAGCCATTCCTTATTTTAAAAGTCCTAAATCCAGCAATGATTCCTTGAGTTTGCTTGACAAGAGGTAGGTGGTGGATATTTTGTAGCAATATTTTGCCAGCTCTGCTGCAAAGCCTCTAGTGTCTGTCTTCCTTAAGGAATCAGCAGACCCCACCCTCAAACTGCTGAGAAGAATTGCCTGTATCTCAGTGTAAAGGGGATAGTAGTGGATCATCCCACCAGGAGACAGTGACACCACTACCACAGTTTTTGATCCAAGTATACATCCTCTGCAGTTGAGTCAAACAGCCTTGTTTAGGGGATTGGAAACAGGTGACTTGCTATCTTGCCTGAACAACAGCCTCCAGTAGCTAAGAAATTACCTGTCCTTGGACAAGGGCTTGCATGTTAGAGGCATTTCTCTTGTTGATTTGTTTTAGTGATCTCCTAGGCAGAGTAAGTAAAACTTACAGCTTTGTCTCTCACAGTAGTGTCTGCCCCTAGCAGACAGGCAGCTAATTTAAGGTGTGCTCATACAGGGCTAATGGATGCTTGATAGTGACCCTGAGCTCCTGCTCAGAAACTTTCTGGTGACCGCTATTGGGGGTGCAGAACCAGGGGAAAGAATCTCCTGCTTCCAGATACCAGAATAGTATGAGGTGACAACAGCAGTTCAGTTCCCACACCCTTCTGCACCCGGTTTGCTGAGGGCATAAACATGCTGCTTCTGTCCATGAAAGGGCAAGGAGGACGCAATGGTGTCGAAGCCAAGGCCCTGAGTCCACTGCCCAAGGTTACATAGCTTAGCACACAGACTCCGGGCTCAAACTTAAGATGTTTATTTACCACCGCGACATCTCTTTTTATTTAATAAGAGCACACATTGGGTCATTTCAGAAACATGGCTAACTTTCTGTCTCCAGTGACCTGTGAGTTTATAAAGCTGTTTTGTTTTTGAACAGTGCACAGATTATACACCTGTTTTCTCAATATTCCTCCTCCTCCTCCCCCTCCTCCTCTTTCTCCTCTTCTTTCTCCTGGTCCTCTTCCTCCTCAGTGGACTCACTTAGGGATATGGCTGAGAGGGCAGCTATCAGGATGTAACAGCAAGTGTTGTACAGAGACATCACATACCCATACCCGAGGTACCCTGAGGAGGTCCTGGGCATATGCCCAGCCTCTCCCATTTTTACATTAGCCAAAGCAGGGACTGTATCGTTATCACATGTGCCCTCTCCACGTGGGCCACTGGTCTCATGAGGTGGACAGTTGTCTGGGGCACATACAGGCATGCTGCTCTGATTGCATTTACTAGAAGGTACAGTGGAAATGTTGCCTGATGGTGACTGGTTGTTGGGACCCCCGTGCTCAGACGCCATGTTATTGTCCTGTGGAGCTTGAAGAAGATCCTCTACAGATGTTCATCAGCCTAAGGTCTCTCGAGACATAAGGCATGCCCTGTGTCAAGATTCACACTAGCTCCATTGACTGTTACTTTGACTGTTACTTTCCCACACTTCCTAAGCCTGTATTCAAGAAGTGTGTCCGGGGCTGTTGGCATGCCTCAGAATATGCAACGCAGTTTGGCCAACTCATGTTCTCTCAGACAGAACCACCTTGGTGGGAGTGGTGGGCAGAGTGTGTCAATGTACTGCCCTTGAATACCCTGCACTTGGAAGGTAGGAAATAAAGTGAGGGCCATCTGAATGATTCTGAAGGTTTCTCAGTTCAGTCTCTCTCTCTCTCTCTCTCTCTCTCTCTCTCTCTCTCTCTCTCTCTCTCTCTCTCTCTCTCTGTCTCTCTGTCTGTCTGTCTGTCTATCTGTCTCTATCCGTCTCTGTCTGTTTGTCTCTCTCTCTCCACCAAACATTGTCGACTAGGTACAGAGCAATATTCTATTTCTTACACAAATTCTTGTTTCTTAATTTAATTTGAAATAGAATTATCTCAATTCACTCCTCCCTCTAGGTGCTCTCAGTAACTCTCCCTTGAAACCGTCCCAGCTCAACCACTCTCAAAATGATACGCACTTTCTCTTGGATAATATTTCTACACACACACACACACACACACACACACACACACACACAC